AGTAGAATCTGGATGCTGAACCGGTCCGGACCTTCTAGTGCAAGCAGACGGATATGCTGAAGTTCCGTGTGTTTAAGGAGCTCCGGTTTGGTAAGCATTGTCGGGAGGGTTTACGATTTGCTGTCATCAAAATGGCTTCATTTGACCCGAGTATCTGTTAAGTGTGTTGCTCGGAATTTGGATGGTGTCGCGGGCGAAACTGTCACCAACGTTTTGGCAGCATATCTACAGCCTTTCGTCTGATAGTTTGATTACAGGTTGTGGACAAATCTAGGACGTTACTACGATGACATAGCAATGTCCGTGCCATTAGGACTAGTGCTGAATGGGCGCTGTATTGATTTTGATGCCAAGAGCATCGCCAGTTAAGACTGAACTACGTGTTGTACATAAGTTGCACTCGCGAAGAATTAATATTTATCTCTTGAATTCGAGTGTATTTGAGTGATGTTGTCTTTTTCTACAACGACTTTCCACTGTACCAATTTCGGCAGCTTATCGTAGTAGTAAAGTCATCGACCTTATCTGCTGAATTAAGTCATGATTATACATGAATTATCTTGCGTTTATATCTATGCCTTCCAATTGTAGCGTCTTCTTACGTGGTGTTTGAAAGCAGTGTTTGTAATGTACGTAATGAACAAACCATCATTCTGGCAAAATTCCACTAAACGAAAGGTTTCTTCATGTCATTTTTTTGGCTGAAGATGCAGCCAAGGTTGTCCAACTAGTCCACTTTCCATCTTCTCTGAAAACCCATAACAACCACAGTGCACGCTACCTTCCCTCTGCAGGAAGCCCGTTCCGAAGTGAGATCAAGGCAGCCGGCAGAGCCACGGCGTCCGGAGAGGGTCTGTACCGCGGCCAGGAGGACAGGACAGCCGAGTTCGTGGTGGACACCACCGACTGTGACAACCTCCCGCTCGACATACAAGTGGACGGTAAGTCGGTGAAGGTTAGACATCCAGGTGATAAGATCCGCCAAAAACAGTATACTCAAGCAACTGGATATGATTTTGGAAACGGTCAGATGTTTCAGGTAGCATCCACTACCTTTCGTCAGTGACACTAAGAGACTGCAGGAGAAATGCAGGTTTATAAGTGGACGGTAAGGCTGGGGTCTTTCTACCTGTAAATACATTACATGAAACTCCTCTTTTTTTTTACTTAGAAATGTATATAGACTCCTCTATGTGTATTTGACTATGTATATATCGTCCTGCTAGATCTTCACTTATTCATTTATGGTTTGTTCAACACACACACAGCCAGAGCAGCCCAACTAGCTTGTGGCTATAGCTATTGCAAAGGGCTGAACAAGACAATACACTGCAATAACATATAAAATATAAAATGGGCAGCGTAAATTCTATAACATAGACAGATTAACAATCTGTAACATTATTCTAAATCTTATACAAAAGGCCATTGGGGAATCCTAGAGAAAAAGCACATCACTAGCCCTGGCCGTCGTAATATATTCTGCCCATGCCCCCGCTTAAACCGTCAAATTTTATTCGCAGGAGTTCCTCAAAGCGTCTCTCCATAAACACGGGTTTAGTCACGCTTGTATACAACAAGAGAGATGTGCTGATCAATTTTCCGTTTAACGTCTCTGCAAAGTTCATAATGCTTTATTGACAAGAGCTAATTTGAATTGCATAGACTGTCGTCTTTTCAAACGACCCATGTTTCCAATGGCGCAGATTTGGACAGAAACAGCCATTGGACGTAATGCTCTTATATTACCCACGAATGACCCGTGAGCAAATGGCGTATTGAATGAGATGCCTCGATAGGCAGATTGAAGATGGCACGGTAGAAAATCGTGTCAGTTCTGCTACGGTAAATGAGGTAATAAGATTTGCAAGCTCTACAATGTGGAATACCTGCACAGTTAACAAAGGATAGTGTCATGCGTGTATTCAATATTATGATATCACCGCTAGTAAGGCCTTCAAGCAAAATTTTACAGCTACATGGGTTTGTGTACGTTATGAAATGGGACATGTTATTCTGAACGAAATATCTTGCATTGTCCTGAATAGTGGAATTACAAACGTTTCGCAGAAAACGAAATACCTAAAATAAACAAGGAATAGCAAGTCGAATTCTTACTCTACCATTCAAGTGTAATATTGAGCGATGTGGACATTCCGACATCATGCCATCAATATAACAAAACTAGAGTGAATTTGTGGACGTATCTGCCAATAACACGGTCAATCAATCAGCCGATTAAAAAATCAATTATGCACCCATTTCACAACGACCTGCGTAAAGATCCGATAAAGATACGGGGCTCGTATTGTGATAAATCCGAGTCGTTATCGTTGTTGGTATTTTACTGGGTGTTTGATGTGAATTAGCTGTTTCTCCGGGCGTAAACCTCAAGCGCCAACCCTCTGCACGTAAATGAACCCAATTCACACAAGAAGATAAGAGTAGGGGTGACCTAGTCTCCAGCAGACTCCTTTGTAGGCTGAATAAATAGTACAAATCGGCCTAAAATGGATATCATTGACCAGGGGAGTTAGTCAGCCATAGGAGGACCAGATAGTACTGACACCTTACAGACTCTGTGGCTTCTTTAGCCGGCTAACTCCTCTGGCTAATTATAACCCTAATTAGGCTGCCGATGTCTACCATTTAGTCCGCCTGCAAAGGAGTCTGGTGGAGACTTGGCTAGAGACGCGAGCCGTTGCGAATCTGCATTGCACTCTAAGCTACTTTAAAGATGCACTTTGCTTCAGCTCGGTTGAGGATGACTGTTTTATAACTCGTTTTACCTTTACCTCACCAGGTCCGAACTCCATAGCAAAGTGCAGCGTCGAACACCGAGGCGACAAACATTACGTCACCTACGTACCGGTGGAAGTGGGGATCTTTGACATCACCCTCAAGCATGGCGGTCAAGAAATTGACGGTAAGTTTGCGGTTTCTCGTGTGTTTTAAAAGACTGGGCCTGTCTCAATCCAGTAAAAAGAGGAAAGAGACCAAACATCGCTAGCAGAATTTTACTATGATGGATAAATGGAAACAACCTCTATAAAGGTGGCGGTGTAAAAAGGCGTGTACGAGTTCAAATAGTGCCTTTCAACATTTCCCGTAAAACAGATCAACTGACAGTCGACATCGTAAGTGTTGTGCCGTAATAAAAAAAGCTATTAAACCGGCCCTGAGTGTACGGGCGTTTTATAACGTTATGCATACGCTGTATACACATTGTGCACTAGTATGCTACTGACGAGGATGACTAAACAAACATCAAGCAATATATAAACACGTACGTTATCAAAAGAACTAAACAAACTAGATCAGCTATCTGACCGTAATAATGTCATGTTTTATGTCCCACTCTAGGAAGCCCGTTTCATCCAACAGTGATCGATCCACGTAAAGTGAGGGCCAAGGGCGGGTGGAACACTTTCCTGGGTTCCAACGGGCGCTTGACGCTCTTCGTGAACGAGAGGTAAGGACTTGGTCTTACGATCGTCGTACGATATAATTATAAAGAAATCGCAAGCCCCAATAATTGTGAGCTCCTCATAATTCAGCCCTTGGCTGCGAGGAGAGAGTAGGCGGCGGTTCCAGTGTCAAGATTGTCGTAAAGGGTCTCAAACTGAATATCTGTAGTCCTCGTTAGACATTGGTTCAGAGACTTCGGTGTAAAATCGGTACCAGACTTCGGTTGTGTAGGTAAAAGGCGGTGGGAGAAGGATGGGCTTCCAATACCGTGCTCTAGACACTGCTCCAACGGCCTCAAAAATGCTATAGGCAACATCTTTACCCCTTGACCGGGTACGGGTCTCCCGGCATTTAGATACAACTTATGCCAAGAACTACTCTACAATACAAGTGTTAAATTTAAGTGAAACTTCGTCTGACCGTTGTGCTATGTTTTCCTCCAGATACACGCTCCCTCTGGATGCGGCTGAGGCCGGCCCGGGCAAGATGTCGTCCACGGTTCGGGGCCCGACGGGAGAGATCCCCGTGGACATAGAGAAGAGGAACGACGGCATGCACTTCGTCTCCTTCACGCCAGTAGTTGACGGTAAATGTTATACTGTAAAATGTACCACAAAGTTTCGTTGGGGGGTAAGAATGATGGAGACTGATCGTTAGATAGCCATCTGTAGATTCAGTTGTGAGAAAATTACACAGTCAAGTTTTCGCATCATTAGCCCATTAGATTCACTGGTCTCGTCACGTTCGCAGAAAGACATATTTCTTCTCATAGACGCTCAGGCTAGAGATACAGCTGATAACTTCCGTTTCGTACAATTTTAGAAAAAAGTCTTTCTGCAACGTCTTTTACTGTAAAAGTGAAAACTACTTCGGCGTCGTTTATTATATAGTTCCTGTATGATATTCAAAGAAAAATCAAACTCTAATACTCAACCGCATTTGTTGTTTATTTGTTTGTTTGTTTTAGGTGAGCACGTGGTGGACGTGAACTGGAGCGACCTGCCCATCGCCCGCTCCCCGATCTACGGGGACGCGCGGGCCTCTCGGGACGCCCTGGTCAGCCACGAGAAGGTGGTGGTCCGCGGGAGGGGCCTGCGCGAGGCTAAGGTGGGAGAGGAGGCGGAGTTCATCATCGACGGCTCCGAGGCTGGCCCAGGTGAGTAGTCTGGTTGTTAACGTACAGTAGGGATATCATCGTCAAACAGATTTAACCAATGTTTACAGTAGGATGCACAAGGGCTAGGTGTAACAAGCCGTTCAGTGTAATGTAGCCGCGTGCCTGCGAAGCTGGTTTGTTACGCCGAAGGGCGGTTAGACCTGCTATACAGGTAAAAATACAGAATGAAGTATCTACATGTTGGGCCTACAAATCGGGCCTACAATACCATGGATATAGTCCTAACAATTCTGTACAGTGGATAGTAATCTATTTGATGGCGCTTCCCCTCCAATTTGCCAGGAGAACGGAAGACAATTATGTACATCGAAAGGAAACTTCAACTTCACTTCATGACCTCAATGAAAAGCGGCCAGCAGGCTCATTTAAGTATTTCACGACTAAACTAAGGCTCAAACAAATCATAACATCACAATATCATAACATCTTATACACAGGTACCCCAGAAGTGATGATGAGCGGCCTGAAGAACGACATCGATGTCCGCATGGTACCCATGACTGACAGGCCCAACAGTTACCGATGCTACTACTACCCCAAGGTGCCGGGTAAGTAAAAAAACAAAATGTCTTATAGGTCGTTTGGATGTATTAGAATATCACAAATTATTGGTACTACATGCAGATTTCACGAACGAGGCAAGGCCTCACAGCTGCGCCAACTGTGGGGTGTGTTGCCTAATGACAGAGCGAAACCAATCCTGCCATGCTACCGATCTTGTGAAAGGCACTTTACACGAATTTCCTCACTTTACTCAGGAGAAAATGAGTACTTAGTACATACGTCTGTTGTACTTGTCCGTACATGCGTTTGTCTGCGTTGGTGGCGGCATAAATATAAGTTGAAAGAACTTGAGTGTGCCGTCGCCATGTCTTGTAATAAATGTTGGAATAGAAAAACTTGCCAACCTTACCTTTGCCTTCGCCAACTATCATTTCACGTGTTTTGTCCCTGTCCGTGTTCGCTTCAGGTGCGTACCTGTTGAACATCACGTGGTCGCAGCGCCAGGTGAACGGCTCACCTTTCCGCGTGTCGATCGCTCCCGGGATTGACGCCAAGAAGGTGACCTTCTCCGGCCTGAAGGAGGGCATCATGGGACAGGCGCTCAGGGCAGACATCGACGTCAGGGAGGCCGGCAAGGGAGGTTGGGAGCCTTTACATTTTGTTACACAATATCACAATATTAATGACTTAGAGGTGTTGACAGAAGGAGATATAACATGACGTATTTAAGTAGGCTATCTATGATTGTACGTAGTACGTGACGTCACCAATAACAACTACCAATGGTAGGACAAAAACATAAGGTTACAGCAATACAGGATGTGATTGGCTAGAAGTTGTGGCGTTACCATGGCAGCTACCAATGGCAAAAGGAAATTTAGACTTAAGAGGCGGACTGCCATTTCTGACACCTGCCAATTGATGCATATTTGTCCAATGTGATTTTAAGAAAAAAAGAAAAGGCTTTTACATTTTGTTACACAATATCACAATATCAGGTGACTTAGGGGTGTTGGGCATCAAGCTTCTAGTATAGAGGCCTGCATCGAATGGATGAATCAGGTGGGGACTAAACGAGAGCCAGTTTTAACAAGTGAAAAACTATATTCGGAGAAACTGACATAGTATGATTATTGACAGCTGGGAATGGTCACGTACTTCATCATTATGTCAGCTAGTTTCTTTCTTAAGCTTTCGGTGTACAAAGTAGAGCACTATTCTTCAAAGAGTCCTTGAATTTGAACACACACAATCTTAAGAAAAATTGACAACTGCCCCACATCGAAAGCTCAGCAGTTACAGTTTGACCACCAAGGAAGTGAGAAATACCTACCACCAATATGTGATGATAGATGCCTTTAACATTTTCTCTGTTTCCCAGGAACGCTAACGGCGAGGTGCCAGGGTCCCACCAAACGTGCGGACATTGACCTGAAGGATAACATGAACGGCACGTTCGGCCTGACCATCCGGCCGCAGGAGGGGGGCAGGCATCTACTGGAGATCAAGTACGGCGGAGAGCACATACAAGGTAACGCTATGTACAGGACGGAAGCAGATGGTTAGATTAACCCCGATTGTATGTAACAACATAAACTATTTATCAAAATCTCTATCCGTAAATCATGATTCTGATTATGCAGTTATTTTAGGAAAGCTGATAAGGGTCTTCTGAAAAAAAATACAAACTTGTTTCAATACAATCAGTAGGGCAGTGTTAACGATCACTTTTTACCGTTCTCTCCTTGGTGCTGAAAATGGTGTTTGAAAAGATTGCCAACTTGTTTCAAATAAAAATCAGTAAAGTCACAGTTTTATCGTTCTCTTCTTAATTCTTAAAATGGTCTCTGAAAAAATTACCTTTTTTCAAACAAAATCAGCGAAGTAGTGCCAACGGTCACGTAAATTTTTTCTATCGTTCAGTCCTTGGTGCTGAAAAAGATCCACAGTGACGGTAGTGTATAAGGTCTCTGTTTCTACCGTTTTCTCCTGTAGGAAGCCCGTTCGTGCTCCGTATTGCGGGTGCCACAGACCCCAGCAAGGTGCGCGTGTTCGGGCCGGGGCTGAAGAACGGGCTGCTCCACACCTTCAAGGGCAACTTCATCTGTGAGACGCGAGGGGCAGGAGCCGGTCAGCTCAAGGTCAGGGTGCACGGGCCCAGGGGTAAGTGTCATAGAGGCTGATACTGAGCTTATAGTTTAACTACATCTCTTTCCATGCCTTTGCACATATTTGACTGTCAAAGATGACAGATTTGGCAAAGTTTTTGTCCGTCATGAGCGGCTAATTTTGTTGTTTTTCTTTATGAAAGGTGCACTCCACGTGGAGAGGACTTTGCCAAAAATTGACAAAGCTATTCCTGCTTTTAGACAATCAATAAATTAAATCAATCATCCGCGGGCATCATGGTCTGGTGCATAGCGGCCACAGTCTTACACAGGTCCCGCCAGGTTGATCTGTCACCGGCACAGACCCTCCAGTTGTCTCTGACACCCAGCTCCCAAAGTGTGGGGAAGAGCTGGTCTTTTAGACGGTGTATTTTAGTGCGTCATGACTCTGTGCATGCTACGCATACGTATAACTTTTCCCACTTGTCACTTACTAAAATGTCTAATTTTGTTTGTTTTTCTCTAAAAAGGTGCGTTCCGCGTAGAAATGCAGCCGCTGAGCAGCAAAGACCGCACCATCGCCGTCAAGTACAACCCCGTGGAGCCGGGCGACTACGACATCGACGTGAAGTGGTCGGACGTGCACGTGCCGGGCAGCCCCTTCCGCGTGTCCATCTTTGAGACTCAGGACGAACTGGACGAGTTCGAGGGCCGGCAGATCTCCCGGATTGGCGGCTCCACCGGCCGACATTCCCGCCACTCCGGCGCGGACTACAACAACTACCAATGGCAGGAGGAGATTTAACATTAGTAGGCTATGATTGGCTGCAATGTGTGACGTCATCAATAACAACTACAAATGGGAGGTGGAGATATAGCATGATGTTGTTAAGTTGACCATGATTGGCTACAATGTATGACGTCGCCAATAACAACTACCAATGGGAGGAGGAGATATTTTGGCGTAGTTACGTAGGCCATGATTGGCTGCAATGTGTGACATCATCAATAACAACTACCACAGGAGATATAACATGACGTATTTAAGTAGGCTATCTATGATTGGACGCAGTTTGTGACGTCACCAATAGCAACTACCAATTGTAGGACAAAAAGATAAGGTTACAGGATGTGATTGGCTAGAAGTTGTGGCGTTACCATGGCAGCTACCAATGGCAAAAGGAAATTTAGACTAAAGAGGCGGACTGGCATTTCTGACGTAACATCTGCCAATTGATGCATATTTGTCCAATGTGATTTTAAGAAAGAAAGAAAAGGATATCTCATTGCATTCCAGGTTAAACACCATAACCTTGCTGATGTTTTCACAGCAAAATAGAGAAAGATAGACGTAGACCAACCCCTTGTGTTTGTTGTAGAGGTAGATTTCATACCTATTCCTATCATCAAACCTCAAAACTGTGATTTTCTACATACGAAGAAAAAAATCATCAATTTCATATGCTAGCAATAACATCAAGCCTTTATATTTGCATGTTGCCATGGATAACATCTTTTACGGTGCTCATTTTTGGAAAACCTATTGCCATCAATCCATTCAACAGTGTTGGTGAAAGCGTCAACGTCATTTGTAACGTATCTAGGATGACTGTTTACAGAGTAGGACAGCTAAAAGTGAAGATTGCAACTGTGAAAACTCGCGGTTGTTCCGTAACACACATTATAATTGAGGTGGTGATAGAAAAATTAACTGAATGTAGGCGCTGAAAGAAATGCACTATTTTGGAAACTGGATTCATGGAATCCTTGCAATATTTTCTCACAGTGTATCAATAGTTATAAAATGCACCCCAGTGTTTAAAAACGTCCAAGACAACATTCCAAGCATATCAATTTGCTGTTGCTATAATGTGATGTTGTCCAAAGGAAACAAGCACCAAGGATGAAAACAGAGAAAAATGTACTTACGTTTTTTCTTATACTGTAAATTATAATAGCAAGCTTGTATCTGAAGCAAAATTAAAGCCTTAATGCCTATGCACTTATTGCTATGTAGAAAAAGCCGCTCGGTGCAAACATAAAATATCACACTTATAATAACTTACTAGAACAAATAGTCTATATACTAATGAATAGTATTATTAATAGAAAAGCTAACTGACTGAACTATGCAGATTGTATTAGAGACAGGATTAACTGTCATTTGTAACAAGATTTGTAGAACTGTTAGATGAAAGGTTTCTATCTGCCTTAACTGTTTCATCGCCCATTTTACTCGTAAGGTTTAATGATCTTGATTTTCATGGACCATTTGACACTTGTCAAAACCTCGCTATATCTTAGAATACATGTTATTGGCTATAATATAACTTATTGATAGAAATGCATGTTACGTTCTTTTGATGTTATGTAAATCATCATGATTTAGATGTAACCATATATCATAAGCAGTTGTTGATGACTTGCTTTTTAATTGTTTGGCATGACTTCGCATGTGTTCTTACATTGTACTGTTCTCGATGCATGTTCATTTGTCCCGAGTTTGGTTACCGACGACTCATGGTTGACGAAAGATGGTCATGTTTTGTGATTTTTATTGCGCTTGTGGAGACACGACACAAGTAACACCGTTTTGTGTCTTCTGTGTATGTGTGGGTCTGAATACAATAAACTCGTGGTGAGTGGTGTCTTAAACATCTGAATTTTCTTCTTTTGTGTGTCAGTCATTAACATACAACACTTAATTTAACTTTGGCCCTTTTCCCACTAGTGTAGAATTGTCAGGATCAAAGTAAATCAATTTGGCTCAATCTAGACCATTCTATCACTCACCATCCAGGTGGGAGTGGGCCATAGAAAAGATAGTAGGAGTATGAAAACACTTATACATGTATATAACCTAAGAAGAACAGAGACAATGAAGTTTTCTAAATTCCTCTTGTCCACCAAACTTTTCAACTGACCAATATGAGAACAATGAAGAACTTCCATACAATAAGTATAATTAAAACTCAAAAAGCAGTTTAAACAGCATTACCTGTGTACGTATTAAGCCTTTTAACAGTCGAAATTACTAGTGACCCAGTAATAATGTGGTGCACTAAGGGACGATTTCATTGTTGAAAGTTAACTGATCTCAAAAAGATACAAAGTGAATGGAATGGATTACATATTGGTGTGTTTTATAAAGATGGCTAAAACATACAAAAGTTATTCTGGAAAAAAGTGTTCTGCTTGTAATATTCATATGGAGATTGGATATGCCCTGGGGAAAAACTTCTCTGACCTGGGTAGAAAAAGCCTATGGAAATGAGGAGGTATAAACTAAAATCCTAAGCTAAACACAAAACACTAAACTTTTAATCTTATCAAGATTCACATGGTTTGATGGAAACTATACAAAATCACTTTTTGTCTTTTGACCACTGTACATCCTACTACAACAGTACAGAGCATCACTAGACACTTCCAATGAGCCAATAGGCTACATGTCTCTGAATAAAGCACAGTTGTAGTACTGTCTAGTGTCTGCTGATACTTAGGCCTTCCTCACATACAATGTACATGGCAATGTTTTACTCTAACACCCCCCAATAATGCTCAGAGAAATAGCCAACTGCTGTCAACTTAGCGCCGACGGGGACTCTGGCTCCTTCTGCGTCGTCCGCTCCTGCAAGAGAGGAAACAAGATGGACTGTAACATCAAAATAAATATCAACATCATTGTTGCGATGCTGGTGGCATTTCAAGCTGGAAAATTTGCCATCAATAAGTTTCCAACAAAAAATTACTTTACTGACATGACTTCTTCACTTGTTGGCTTGCTGTTTGAACAACAAAATCATAGTTTTCATTAATGATTTATACTTCCATTGACAACTGTTTGCTAGTTCAAAACTTTATTTCACGGTATAAGGGAAAGGGACACTCTCTGGTTGAGACAATTTTGTTGTACATTTATAATACAAAACACAGTGTCATACTAGTAATTTCTTGTCAAGAGGACAATACAAAAACTCTGAGTCTGAAAACAAAATCAAAAGTATTTACATTTATACAGTAAATAGTAGTCATCAGTAGTGATGCATACCTAAACCCAATTTTAGGTTCACGTCTGGATTTAAGTCCAGAGGTTTAGGTTCAGTTCCGGACAAAATTGCATATTGGCAACCTTGCAATGTTGTCTGGGTGAAACTTTGGCAATATAACATGGAGGCCGGTACTCGACGATGCCAATGTTTTCTTCGTTTTGCAGCAAAGATTTTACAATCTACGGAAGGTTTTAGGTGGTTTGGAAAGAAAAGGGGTATGTGAAATGGTCTTTTATGGTAATAAGTCCGGACTCAGTTCTTGACTTTTAGGTTTTTTTGGACTTGAACCTAAACATTCTTACAAGTCTGGATCCAAGTCCAGTGAACCGGTATGCAGCACTAGGACAGAATAACCTGTGACCCACCTGCGTGACCTGCCCCCCGGTGGCCCCCTGACGAAGCACCAGTCCACATGTATTGTGTTCTCCAGGATCTCTGTCCCGTTCAGAGCGTCCATGGCTGCCTGGGCCTCCTTAAACGTCTCGTACTCCACCAGAGCATAGCCCTGAAACGTCGGGTGGTGTAGTGGTTAGAGCAATCGACTGTGAACCGGGAGACTCGGGTTCGATTCCGAGCCGTACCCGGGACATGTCTGAACATGCGCCCTGACGTTGTGCCCTTGGGAAAGGCACTTTACACGACTTTCTTCACTCCACCCAGGTGTGAATGGGTACCTAACTTTGGTTGAGGAAAGTCGTATTGAGGTCACCTTGTGGCGCCGAATGGCAGCCGCACAGACCCTTGCGACATACATAATTTGTGTATCATTTGTATTATTTGATTGTTGTAATTGTTGTGGTTTGTATTGATTATTATGTGATACCCTGCATCAATTCAGCCGTATAAAGGCTGCGACTGCACGGGTACTGTTTGGACAATAAAACCATTTATTTATTTAAACCACCACAGTACTCAGCACAACAAAGAAATGTCTCCAAAATAAAACTCCAAAGCAGACGTATAGTGGCTCCTTACTTCTTACATTGAAACTCTACAAATGTAAAAATGGCAGACAATCTTCAACATTGCATCCAGCACATGCAGTTTTTAATACATTGCTTCCAGACAATACTGTATATACATACCTATTCTGCAAAAATTACAAGTAAATACTCTTTACAGCAGTTCACATACAGAATTTTTCACGTGGTTGGACTGGGATACTAGTACTACATTTGTAGTACTTTAAATTTGTTTTCTGCAGTATGTCACTGTAACAATACGGAGTCTATTATTATTATTATTATTATTATAATTATTATGTCATTTTCTGCAATGCCCTTCCTTCCCTTCAAATTAAATGTGGATATTTCCAGCCCTGTACATGCACATCTGATGACAACAAACCTTGAGGAAGCCTGTTCGTCTGTCCAGGTTCAAGTGCAGGTTTTTGATCTCCCCAAACTCCGCAAACTTGTCGTAGATGTCGTCTTCCTGTGCTTCTTCGTGGACACCTGTCACAAACAGGATCCAACCCTCCACGGCTAAACAAACAAACAACAAATTCATTCAGTCTATCCTTCCAATGAAGTATTCATGGTACTGTAAGTTCATTTATGTGAGGACTTTTTTCATGAGATGAGACAATTTGGGAGTTCGACTTCGCAGATCAGTAATTTTTTGCGAGTCAGGAAGAAAAAAGGATAGGAAAAATATCTCATTGAAAAGCTTAATATCCACCATTCAGACTGTTCTAATAATATGTGCCAGTACTTCAAGTACTAGTATCCTTCAGTGCTAGATGTGAACTTCTTTTTTTTTTCTTCAATTTTCAGGAAAAGGATAGGGAAAAAATGTCTGAAATGCTGTATTTTCTTGCTAAAATCATGTTCAGAGATCAAAATTCATTAGATTCTATGACCACTCAGTATTTTTCTATATTGAAAGTGCCTGGTGCTCCATACTTACATCTCTGAGGCCCTGGCTGGTCACTGTCTGCCTCTACCGACTCATAGTGTTCCTCTGACTCCCTGCCTCGGGGGGCATCTGGGGAGAAAGGATCTCTCATGAACTACAAGTCTTCAATAGTGACATGCACAACAGAGCTTACTACTGAGGTTTTGTGTTCTGTTACTGTAATCAGGTATATATATTCATTTTTTAGCACTATGGCTGGGGGCATGTATGAAAGTACATGTATACTGGTTTATCAGTATTGGGTACTTTTCAGAACATTAACAACTGGAAATAGATTGGAGCGGTGTCTTCACTTAAGTTAAAGTTTTAACTTTTTTATGTTGATTACACAGAAGAAGGTACAGGCAAAGATGTGTGTGTTGAGTAGCCAATCAAATATAATGTCACTGCATACAATGCTAGTAAATAAACATAAACAGAATGTTATCATACCCTATGTATGATTCTATGAATATGATATACAACTTACCTCCATCAAACCCTCTGCCCTTTCTTTTCCGTGCCTTTTCTTTCAGCTTCTGGATTCCCTCTGCAATGAAACGAGTATGCACATAAATGAGTACACAAGAATCCAAATTTTCAGTTTGTATCATGCAATATGTATTATCCCAGCGTAGTTTCAGAATCGTGTGTTTGTGAAATGGTCTTTACTATGTAATATTTTCATCCAAATCCCAAGACACGTGCCCCCCTCCCCATACACGCAGTTTACATGAACAAAAGCAACCGTCCAAAAACCTTACATTTCTTCAATCACATAACAGCCACGAAGCAAAACATTATCGTTTGGTGGTTTCCATTCGTTCCTGAATGTTAAAACACAATCACCTCGAAACATTTCAAACCATTCAGTGTTACTGGCGCTGTTTTAGTGAGAGCGCATCACGCATAGAAATTTCGTAGCTAACAAAACCAGAAGACCCTGCCAGAAGACAATCTATACCAAGTTTGGCTCTCAAACTATGCCGTTATCGAGTACAGTACAGGCCAATGAACCTACAAATAGAAAGTATACACTTTTATCTTGCTGCAAAATTGATATAGCGTCTTAGAAATCAACGTACGGTCTCCTTCTTCGTCAACTTCAAACTCCTCTCCTCCCTCGTGAAGATCGAGTACGTCCGCCATGATGCCGCCTTGCTGGATACACTTATCCGAATGTAAACATTTGCATATTTTCTGACCAATGGGAATGGCTCTTTTTTTTTAGAAATTTGCATGTAAGTTTTCCGAATGTGGGCGGTAAACTAGTTTGCATATTTTGTGTCCAATAGAAATAAAACGTTTTGGAAATTTGCATGACTACTTTTTAACCAGGTACACCAATGTAAATTCGACGAGAGCACTCAAATAAAAGGGGGATACAAGTATGGTATCGTTTATAAAAAGAATAAAAACGTGATAATTGACGACAGAACGTTATTACCTTTCATTTCTTTGTGTATTTTTATATTTCTTTGCAAATTATATAGCATTAACTATAAATTACTCATGTAGTTTTGATGACTAAATTAGTCCGGAACGTTGTTATACCATGAGTCTTTGTGGAAGCTGCTAAATAAACACCACCTTGCACGGTGGAGGGAAAAAGGAAAGGTAGGTTGGGAAAACATCCCAAAGCAACACCTAACTACCTCTGATTTCTGGTCTTCTTACCACCACCTTATGAGATCTGTGGTCAATTGAACGTTTTACGTCTTAAAGATGTCATTAGATTGTCTGAAAAGTAGACACATTTGCAGGTACTTTGCGATCTAAAGTAGAGAGCCCCTCCCCCTTTACAACAAAGACTCAGGTAACGTTTCATGAGAAAGGTTGTTGTTCAAAAGTTTGCTTGTCTAACGTTACACCTTGTTTTGGAAGAACTAACGGACCCTTGAACTTGATTTGATTTTGAACACCTAACAATTTCTACTTCTAAAAATTTTATAGTTGTAAAAACTTCCTTTCAATAGTACAACTACATTTCACTTTCACTTTTGTTGAGTGGGGGGGGGGATGGTTGTAGGGAAAAGTCAGTTTCATTTTCTTCAACAACAGAAATATGTAATATTTGGGGATTGGTAGCAATGATTAAAATTTTTAACAACTCGTATGTAGCTTATTGTGATAACGGTAGTAGTCTTTGTAACATTTTTCATATTCTTTTAATTTTTTATAATTTTCTAATTTACAGGTCATGAGCCATGAGGTTCAACTTCATCAAGTCACAGAACGAACTTGTGAGATGGCAAAATTAGACTCCACTTGGAAATTATAGATTCAGAGTTTGAATACACTAGTTCCCAAGCTACTTCATTATAGGTATTCTTACAGAGAAGCTCTTCAAGTTCTAGAAAAGTACAAGTAAAGCCCTCTCCATACAGTAAGCAAATATGGCAGAAATATCTCCTTGGCGACTTTTCATGACAGAGCTGAAAGAAGAAATGAAAACTGATGATTTGGAAAGTGCTCTCGGTCTGGTAAAAGACAAGATAAGTGCCCAGGATTATGAATCCATTTCTAAGACAAAGTCACCCAAGCAATACCTAGATTCCCTGGAAAAGTTAGATCTCATAGGCGAGGACAATACCAATTTTTTGTACTTACTGTTGAAATCAATCCCCATGGTAGACTTCATACCTAACTTGGAGAAATATCAAGAAAAATGGGAAGAAAGAAGGGCAGCATCAGGGGTGTATAGTCGCGATCCTAGCTTTGTTGGACGTGTGACAGAAATAGCCAGGCTGGTGAAGGAGCTCGGGAAGACCAGCCGTAACGTGCAGCTAGTCTGTCTGACAGGCATCGCAGGGATGGGGAAGACGGGTCTGGCCAAAGAGGCCTGTTACAGGCTACAGAGGAGGGTGTTCTTTATAAACCTGAGGGACAAAGGGAACATGCAGGACGTGTTCATGACAGTAGCCGCTGCTCTGGACCTGCGACTGGACCTGCAGAGGGGCTCCCTCACCGACTGGATCGGGGTTCTAAAGGACTGGATCATAGAGTGTGACGAAGGTAAGAAACTTAGGAAATCATTACATTTACATACTTAAAAGGACCACACAGAGCATGTGACACTAGCCAGGGTACCATCCTATTTGTATGATTGGCTCCTACACTCGCTTCCCTAGTTGTTATGGAAGCAAGTGTGGGAGCCCTGGCATACAAATAGGATGGTACCCTGGCTATATGTGACACAAAGCTACCCTTTAAAATCGTTGATATATGGTCTAGAAAAGAATTGTGCAAATTTTTCCTTACACAGTCATAAGTGAGGTAAATCAAAACTGTAGCTTTAAGTTTGAATGGTACCTGTTAACCTGTTTCTTTCCACTGCCATGCCTATTGCCAATCTGTATGTACATGTATAACTTTCAGATGTTCAGAGATTTAGCCTAGTTCTGTGGCTTTTCGCAATGTGTAAAAGTAGTATAAAAGACGAACAAAAGCCCAGCCATTTATCATCCATAACACAGATATTAGCCAATCTGAAACTTATATTTGCGCTTTTATTCCCTTCTAGACGTAACCATATTTCTGGACAACGTTGATGACCTCCTCGAACCTGGGTCGTCTCGCATGCCAAACATGAACAGACAAAACTTCCTCAACCTCCTCAGCGAGGTTCTCAAGATCAAGACCGAGCACGTCAAGATCCTCCTGACGTCTCGCTACAAGCTCAAGATGGAGGAATACAACGGGGACGTGGTAGAGATCCCTTTGACGAGGCTGGACCCTGAAGACGGGGTCAGGCTGCTGAAGAAGAGTTCAGGGCTTGTCGGTGAAGGCATGGATGACGACGAGTGCAGCAACATCGTCGAAGGATGCGGCCATTCTCCACTTGCAATCCGCGTGATCGCGCGACATCTGAAGGACGGCCGCATCAGCCCCGCCGAGGCCCTGAGCCAGCTGATCACCAAGGGACGGAAAGCGAAGCAGGCGCTGCGACCCTCCGCCGTGAGCGAAGAAGAGAACATCTTCGACTGCTTGAGGATGACTTTTGACGCCTTACCCGACAAACTCAAGAACATCCTGGTGAGCCTGTCTGTCTTCCAAGGATCCTTCACGTGCGACGCTGCGAACGAAATCCTTGGATCGTCCTCCAGACTCAACACCGAGCTTGATCTTGAGTTTGTCCAAGACAGGAACCTTCTCGAGTACGACGACTTAAACGACCGCTATGACCTCCACACGCTGGTCCGTGTCTTCCTGTCCAAGGCTCACAAGGGGTCGGAGATGTTGACAAAGGCACGCACACAAGCTGAGAAGCGTTTCCTTCAGTACTACAGCGTGCTTGCCCAGAATCTCTCCATGGAAAGCACCACTAAATTCTTTGAAGCGTTTAGTCGATTTGAGGTGGAGAGGGCAAACTTCCACTACTACATCGAACTCTCAGCCACCAAAGGGAAAGTCGTGGACTTCGAGTCCAAGTCGGACATCGATATGTGGAGCAAAGTCTACTTATTCTTCCACACATTCCTGAGCATTGATGAGCGGGAACGCTACTTTGAAGGAAGGGCTAAAGCCGCAGAGTTGGAGGGAAACACTCTGAACCATGCCTTCATGAAGTGCTGGCAGGCCGAGCAGCTAGTAGAAAGAGGCTTACTCAATGATGCATTGAAGATTGTCGGCAAGCTTATGAAGACGCTAACAGAAATGGAGAAGACAAAGAACTCTGACGGGCTGCAGCTGACCTTGGCAAGGTGTTACTACATCAAGGGAAGAGTCCTGGTATACAGGAAACAGCACAAGGACAGTTTAAAGCTCCTAGAAGACACCTTGGGTATCGAGAAACAGGTTCTGAAGAAGCACACCCTGACAGCCAGGACTCTGAACATGCTGGGACACGTCTACTTTAACATCGAGCATGAGGAGAGAGCGAAGGTGTACCACGAGGAGGCCTACAACATGCTGAAGAAACTCGTGCGCTCGGAGAATCACCCGGATTTTCCCAACTACCTGACAAACATTGGCGCGTGCTACCATCGCCTGGGCAACAAGCATCCCAGAGAAAGTCTGGAGAGCACAGAGAACTACGAACGAGCGCTAGATTACTACGACAAGGCGTACCAGTTACAGGTGAGACTGAAGATGGAGGGACATCAGGGCACCGCAACGGTGTTCAAGAACAAAGCTACAACATTGGTGGAGATGGAAAGGTTTGAAGACGCCAGGCCGCTCGCCGAGAAGGCCCTGAAGATTCGCAGGAGGAGACATATCCCCGGCATGCCTGACTTGGCTCGAGCTCTCTACTTCGTGGGGTCCATTTACCTGGACCTGGGAAAAGAGGCTGCGGATAGACAGGACAGAGGTAACTATGAAAGGCGTATATCATCTAATAGTAATACTAGTACACTGTAGTATATGGTAGTATCTCTTGTAAATTATGATCTTGATGCTGGTGTGCCCTATAATGCTTTTCTGCATATCTGTACTTACTTACTTTCACTCATTCACTCCTTCATCCATCAATACTCCATCCTTCCATCCATCATCCACCCATCCATCCACTTTTCCTTCCATCCATCCATCCATCCATCTTTCCATCCATCCATCCATTCGTCCATCCATCCTTTCATCCATCATCCACCCATCAATCCATCCATCCATCCCTCCATCCTTCCATCCATCCTTCCGTCCATCCATCCACCCACCCATCCATCAATCATTCCATCCATCCCTCCCATCCATCCATCCATCCACTTTTCCATCCATCATTCCATCCATCCATAAACCAACCAACTCCCCCGGTACCCATCCATCCATTCACCCATCTATCCACCCATCCATCTACCCATCCTTCCATCCATCCACAAACCAACCCATTCATACATTTATCCACCTATCCATCCATCCACCCATTCATCCATCCCTCCTTCCATCCATCCATCAATCCTTCCATCCACCCATCCATCCATCCATAAACCAACTCGCCCATTCACCCATTCATCCATTCACTCATTCACCTGTCCATCCTTCCATCCATCCATCTACAAACCGACTCACCAACCCATTCATTCATCCATACCAACCAGACGCGGCCCGTGATCAGTACCAGCTGGCTAAGCGGTACTTTGACGAGGCGTTGGATGAGGAGCTGGACCTGGGTGTTGGTCAGCAGAGCGTGGACTTCCAACGGCTGCAGAGGGACACCAGGAAAGTACTGAAGAAGCTACACAAGGGAGCAAAGGTCGAACAGAAGTATGAACAGAAGTTCCTGGTAGGTAAAAAGGGTTTTGTTTTTGTTGCTACATGAAAGTCTTGTTCTCATTTCTCTGGCCTGTACTGCAACTGAGGCTTTTGGCTGCTCCATAGACTTAGTACGCTATACTTAAAAAATAAAAATAAAATATATATTATGTGACCAGTACATTGTGTTCTAACTGCAAATTTAAAACCCTGGAACAGCCTCAATTCTTTTCCCTCCTACCATGACATTTGACTGCCATGAATTTAAACCCATTTACAGTATCCATATCAATTTCCTCATTGTGTTAACCCATACTGTCCTTGGTTAATCCTTGCAGAGGGCAGAGATAGGAGGAAGGCACAGGAGGGATGACAGTGATGATGGCTCCTCCTCCGGCAGCAGTGAGCACAAGAGATCAGGGGAAGAGGACGACTCAAGCTCATCAGGTATGTGTATAACCTCGGATCCAAACCTATGAGGCAACATGCAGAGAGCTTATGAGTTGAGGCAAGCTTGGCTTGATCTTGAGAAAATACTGTGCAACACCCGTCTGTTAGGTTAGATGCATAGGGAGGAGTTGCGTTGCGTCATTATTGTTTCCTCAGGTGCAGGAGTAAGGCTTCCTTGAAGTTGTTAGGTTCTGGGATTTCAGTTATAGTAGATATACTAGTAGTAGAGTGGATTCATTCCTCAAGCTAACCGACATCTTGCACATGCAGTGTTCCCTCATCTGGAGCTGCATAGTTAAGAGCTTTTTTTCAGCCTTGAAGCAAGCATAAAAGGCTTGGTTGGCTGGATTGTGAGGGTATCACTCTCCTGCACATGTGTAAGCTCTGCATGCACAGTCTCACAAGTTTGGCTTCCAGGATAGTATGTGTAATCAATTGTTAAATGTTCACATCCTTAAACCTTCAGAATCAGTATACATGTATGTGCCCCTCACATTTCAGATTATTGTCAGTGTTTGCCTAGCCTGTGTTACACAATCTCTCACTGTCAGTAGGTGATAGAAGTTTGGTCTCACTCCTCACAACTTTCTTGCTTCTTCAATACACTCACAGAAGGCTCCCCTCCCCCCTCCCCATCCAAGAGGGCAAGGCTAGCAGAGACACCTAGTGGAGAAGACCCGGAACTGCAGGGCTCAGCACATTCCTCACCACAGGAGGAGCCAACTCCTGGGTCTTCTGGAGAGGCACAACCAGAGGAGCAACAGAGGTCCATGTGTCAGCTACAGTAGCCTGGTCCAGGGCCCAAGTATCCTGCACTGGTGCAGTTAACATTGCAAATTATCTGCACCAGACAAATTTTACCCACACCACTCAGAACTCTGAGAACTAGGGATCTTCTCATTTCCATTATTTCTTTCATATTCCATAAGTTTTAACGGTCAATACAGCAAATAAAAAAAATCCACATAAAACTACATCTATGTGTAAACCAAGTACATGAACCAGTGCAGGTTTGGTGCAGCTCCAATTTTAAATGCAGTAAGGTGCATTATTTCAAGCCCTGTGACTGGTCAGATCTAGGTGCCAGTTAGAAAAGCCTGGTCTGATACAGGCAGTAGGTAGAATTGTTGACAAGGTAGACTATGAGAATGAACTGCACCCATTTGTCAAATGTTATAAAGTTATCAATTGTGAACACTCAGTCACTCACTCACTATATTGAAAATAGTGATAAATGGAAAGAATATAGATTTTATTCAGAGTGTATAATAACAGGGTTAGGTTTGATAAGCTTATTAACTGAGAGCTTGGCTGCAGATTAGTGTCTTTCTTTAATTCAACAGTCCTTTTCATAGGGGATGGCTACTGTGGAAATGATACAATTTCTTTATGGATGGTAAATTTTATGTACCAGAGACTAAATATTGGACAAATTAATTTGATTATGTTTAATTGGCTGTAAAACTTGAAAGCACCAAGTGCGACCTATTATGTGTACTTGTATGTATTATCAATATTTTAAAAGAAATATATATCAAACTTAAAGTTTGTGATTTTGAATCATGCTTGATACACTGAATTGTGGACGCTTTAGAGGCTAGAATTTTTATATTGCCATTTGGACAGGATCTATGAATTTTACTAATAATTGTGAATTTTACCCATATCCCCTTAAGGATTTCTGTGATAAGTGTATGTATTTCTTATATCTTATGTATATGCAGAAAATGTAGTAAAAGGCTGGTGACAATCAAGTAGGTGACAATCAATTGTCTTGTTTTTGCTTATGACAGTTAATTTACTGTGTAGAATTTGCTGCAAAGCTGTAGACTGTTTGTTCACTTTGGTGTGTGGACCAATATACAATCTATGTAAGAAACCAGCTCTAAGACTGTCTGGCATCTCTTGCATTTTGTACAATCAAATAAAAAAAAATTGAACTATCTGTGTAGCCTTTTGATAGTCAATTACTGGTACCTTTAACTTTTTATCTTTGTGCTGTTTAAACGAAGATGTGACAATGTCAGTATGCTATTTTAACCTAAATGTCACAATAGTAAGAAATTTTAGGCCTTGTTTTATCCATAACCACACTCAGGAACAGTTTTGGATAGTCCACGCGTATCCACAACGGTACCTAGGGCAAATCTATGTTCTTGGATATGTGGGGACGATCCAGAACCGTGGCATGGAACTAGTACTCTCAAAGCAGAGGTTTGGGTTTTTGGTTATTTTTGGCGTGTTTTTACGCTTTTTATCGGAGTTTCTTTTTTTGCACGGGATTTTTTTCCCAAACCCAAAAAAGAATTCCCGATAAAAAGCCTAAAAACACGCCAAAAATAACCAAAACCCAAACCTCTGCTTGGTGAGTATAGAACTAGTAGGTTCGGGATAGGGTAGTCCTGGCGACTGGAACCATTGTGGTTTCCCTATGAGCACACCTGTGTTTGCTGCTTGGTCCACTTCCGCTCGACTCCATCATTCTGTACTTACTCTGAAGATCGTACATTTCGCATTCTTCAGTTCAACGTACCTCAATAACAGGTCAGCACAAGTTAAACGAGGTTCACTCATTGTTCCAGACGATCACCTAGCTACTAATCCAACCTGGTCGTCTCCATGGTAACGCCAGCGACAAACAGTCAACAACACCGGAGACTCCTTTATGACCCCTTTGAAATGTCGACGTCAAACTCCCAGGGTTTGCGTAAGAGCGCGCGAGGGGACCTAAAAAAAGTCGGGAATTTGTCTCAATTGTTACGTCCTTTGTTTGCACCGTTGCCGTAGCAACGTGACCCCCGCTAAGTAGCCGCTTTGCTAATTAATGAAAAGTGTCAATAATGTCTTCTCTATAAAAAGATGGCGCAAACATCGCTATCTGAGAATATTTTGATACCAATTAAGATGCGATGATCTGATGTAGATTATACCACAGCTAAGGCTTTAGGGAAAGATTGCGAAGGTTGTACTGTAGTTGGCACACGACGAAAATTACAGAACATTTTGTGCTCAATAAGCCAACCAATGCGTCGTCAGAAGGTCATTGAATAGAAACGTGACAATCGTATCTCCCTGGCCCATCGCCCTCTGCTCTCGTTAACCTGTTTGGCACCTGTTTGTAACAGGATCGCGTCTACGTACGAACGGACGGACCACACCTACACAGACTCTTACACACAACATCGTCCGGACGCTCTCATCTCTACAGTCCAGCCGTGAGGCTCAAAAAACAACCAAGACTGTCCTCCAAACATTGCTTGGAATTTCAGGTGGTATCTAGAAGGAACCAGTGAAAACGGTAAGCTATTTTCAGGCATTTTTTGGCCATCTACAATAGAATAGTTATTAGCACATTTACTTTATCATTAAGCCGAATCCGTCGCGATCTAGCAGCTATTTCTGTCGTTTAGAAACCGACCAAAATGATCAAAGTCGTATCAGATGTGAATTTAAGTATTCCGGGCTGAGCAAACCTTTGAGCAAAGTTGGCTTTGAAAAAAAAGCGAGTAATTACTAGAAAGTACAGCTTTCGTTTATCCCATTTTATTGCGATTTGATTTCATAGTCTGTTTAAGTTAAAACTTAAGCTTCTTGCTCAACTTGAATCGTGTATTAGTTTCGTAAGGAAACGAAAAAAGTTATGGAAACTTGGTTCGTTTATGGCAATCTAAACACTACTGTGCATCTAATACCTTCTGAAGGTTTGAAAAGTTGGCTCCAGTTTCTTTTTGGCAAAATGCAAATCACATGCAGTCTATATTAGTACACGAGTCTCAGTAGAACCTCAGTAGAGCTTTAAAATGTGATTCTTTTAACGAAACGCGAATTCACGATGGTCTGAAGGCATCAGTGCTCATACTGCGTCAAAATCGAGGATACAAAGACTTAGCTAGCTTTAAAAACTTGGACATTATGCTGTTTTCACAAAACTGATGACACGTTCTTCTAATTATTGGCGCGCATTGTTGTTTTTGCCAGTGTTTCGCAATCTTGGCAGGGTACTTTTTGAACCCAAATTACTGTCGAAACAGAGATGTTACAGAATATACACTCATGTTATTATCTTGTAATTCAAATTGGAGACACGCGTTTTAAAACTATTTTGGCCATTTTGGTACTTACTTCACACTTATAGGCTGAGCTTAAATCCCTGCGAGTCTGATCAACAAGTGACTTCATTGTTGCACCTTGGCAACCACGGAATTCTCGTCACAATGGAGCAGGGACGTATTTACTCGGGAAAAAATACAAGTAGTTTGTCTTAATTGTGCCTGTTTGTCATGATTATTGTCATCCCCACAAAGTATGCTTGTTAGTAACCTGAGTGATTAGGCACAGGTTTGAGTAAACATTTACATCATTACGGGTTGTAAATTCAAACTTCAGTCGGACGAGTTTCGTCTCCTTACGCCATTTCTGCACTTAAAGTGCGAGCGGCTTCGAACGTGGTGAAAACAAGTTCAAGTTGGGAAAAGTAGCTTTACCTATGAACACTTTGCGATCGGCACATTTGCTTCAACGTTAGCTTGAAGCAATTAAACCGATTGCACTAAAACAATGAAAGGATCGAATCTACACACACGAGTTTATGGGCTCTTGCTGTGGTCCAATACATCCCTCTCGACAGGGACTACAAACAGAAAGATGCATGTACTGTGTGTATTTCATGTGGCAGCTTGTCCATATACGCTGATAAGTTACATGGCTCAGTTTACTCATCACCGTAGCCTGGATGCCGACTGTATGTTGTCAGGGCCGGTACACAGACCAGTCTCTCAGACCCTGAGTTAACTGCATGCCCCAGTGAGGAGTTACTGTACGTACGTGTAGTAAAATTTCACAGGGAACATGGAGCCCAGGTATCTAACAGTTTGTTACATACGCGTACGTATGAGATGCTTCTTAACTCCTCTCAGTAACTTTGAGGAGAGCTGGATGTCTTCAGACCGAACGGCTGTCTCTGGATGCCCTCTCTGCTGCTTCGCCTGTGTCCTACGCACTTCTGACTTCCTATCTTTCCCTGTGACTCTACCCAGGGTGCCAGACTAGTATCGGGCCGTTAGGGACTGTACGATATTTACCGGGGGGGGAGGGCTGGTGCAAAATGGTCCGGTAAAAAATTTTTTCCATGGCCCTCCCCCCGGCTCAAAATTTTT